AGGGGACAGGGAAGACAGCGGACAGGGATGGGGACGGCGAATTGCATGAGGCAGGGGACGGGAATGGGGATGGGGACAAGAAAGCGCAGTTACCATTGGGGTCAGTGAGTCCCCAGCCAGTGGTGACGCAGGTCGTTCCCCCCGCGAAGTCGTCAGTGGCCTTGGGCAGGCAGACGGGGGACACGCGGTCCGACAGCTGCGCCGGAGTGGCCAGTTTGATCAGGGTGATGTCGTCGTGGATGGTCAGCATGTTGAACTTGGGGTTCTTGAAGACCTGAAGCAGGCGGCATGCTCTCAGCACCCGCAGCCCCTGCCAGGGTGCCGGGCGCTGGGTACTCCACAGGGATCAGTAGGGACCTCGAGGACCAACGGGGACCCCAGCGATGGCTCCTGTGTCTGAGTTGCAGAGCCCAGTCCCTGGGATGCAGGGGAGCAGGGACACCCCAGGTCACATCCCCGGAGGGGATGAAATGGACCCTGAGGCCTGAACCCCTATCCCTTGGGAGTTCCTGGGAACATGGGGACATCCAGGGGAGCTGACATGAAGGATGAGTGGGAGCGCGGGACACCCCGAGGGATTGCAGTGCAGGGATGTGGGACACCACGGACATCCCAGGGAACCCTGACCCTCAGGATAAGGGAAACCGGGGACTCCTCAGGAACACAAACCCCAGGACAAGGGGGACCCGCACATAAGCCCCCAGGCCGCCGGTAGTGGCCTTGGGATCCCGCAGGCACACAGAGCCCGTCCCGGAGGTACCTTCTCGATCGTCAGTTTCTGCTGGTCAGGGCCGGGTGCGTCCTGGTCGTAGGCGCCCACCACCACGGTGTCGGTTTTCCTGAGCACAGGCAGGCGCTGAGCACGGGGCACCGGCACGGGGACAGGGACAGGGACAGGGACAGAGGGGGTTCCCTGGGCACCCTGTGCCCGTGCCCAGCCCCGGCCCGGCCGGCAGCAGAGCCGGTGCCTACCTGACGCCGCAGTGGGCAGCGGTGACCACCCAGTTCTCGCTGATCAGGGACCCGCCGCAGAAGTGGAAGCCGTTGTAGCGCTGGCGGGGAGAGCCGCCCTCAGCACCCGGCACCCGGCGCTCAGCACCGGCGTGCTCCGTGCCCGGCCCCCCGCACGGCACCCACCCCTGCCCCCGGCCCGCCTCGGGCTCTCACCTGCAGGGACACCTGCCATGGCCAGGATCCTGCCACCGCCGGCTCCCCGTTGACAATGCGGTTGTAGCCACGGATGACGGGTGCGATGGCGGGCACGCCGCAGTCTAAGGGGTACAGGCAGCCGTGAGGCGGCGGCTCCGACCACCCCGGCCCCATGTCCCCTCCCCACAACTCCCGCCCGCCCGAGCCCCGAGCCCGCCCTGCCAAGCCCCACGACCCCACGCACTCTCAGGGAGGGCGGCACGGGCAAAGCCCGCCAGCGCCAGGCAGCTCAACACCCACAGCAGAGCCATTGCCACTTGTGAGGACAGACCGGGCAGCCGGCGGCCCTTATATGCACCCCTGGGCACCTCCCTGCTTCCGCTGGCCTTGCCACTGCGGCCTTGGGAGATAGCGTGCCACC